TGGATGGTGGGGGGAGGAGAGGGATGTGAGAGAGGGGAGAGGGAAGTGGTGGAGAGAGGGGAAGGGTGGGGGAAGAGAGGTAGTATGGCGGGGGGGGGGGTAGGGGACAGATGGTGGGGGGAGTGGGGGGGCGGCGGATGGAGGGAGAGGGGGGGGGGTGGATGGAAGTTGTCAAAGGGAATTATGTATATTAGAGAACAGAGCTTCGTGTGCCAAGGATCCATTTCTGAAGCGCTGATAATACTCTTTTGCATGAGTGAGGGAAGAGAGTGAAGGAATGGAAGATATGAAGGAGACGAAGAAAGAAATGAAGAAGAGAGAGGAAAAAGAGAGGAAGAGAGAAAAGGAAAGAAAAAGAGATAGACAGATAAAGAGAGAATGATAGACAGAGAAAAAAAAAGACATAGAAACAGAGAGAGAGAGAGAGAGATAAAGAGAGAAAAAGATACAGATACAGATACAGCGAGAGACAGAAAGATAAAGAGAAAGAAAGAAAAAAGATAAACAGACAGATAGACAGAGGGACAGAGGACAGATAAATTACCACTGCTCGTTCCCTCGTTTCGCCGTGTGTATATGACGGCACGTCCTCCAGCTAACCCCCACCCCCCCACCCCCCCAGCCCGCCCGTGCCATGTGCCTCCTGGATAGAGAGAGAGAAAAAGACAGAGATAGACAGACAGAGACAGAGAGAAATAGAGAGAGAAAAATAAAAAAAGAAAGATAGATAGATAGACAGAGAGAGAGAGAGAAAGAGATAGATAGATAGAGAGAGAGAAAGAAAGATTAGGAGAAAAAAAAAGACAAAGAGAAGGAAAGATAGAGAGATGGAGAGAAATGTAGAAAGAGATATACTGATACAGATAGATAAAGAAAGAGAAAGATGGAGAGAAATGTAGAAAGAGATATACTGATACAGATAGATAAAGAAAGAGAAAGATAAAAAGATAAACAGATAGATAGATAGACAGAAGACAAGAAAAATTACCACTGCTCGTTCCCTCGTTTCGCCGTGTGTATATCGCGGCACGTCCTACCCCCCCCCCCGTGCCATGTGCCTCCTGGATAGAGAGAGAAAGGTAGATAGGGTAGGATAGAAAGATAGAGAGAAAAAGACAGACAGAAAGAGAGGGAGAGAAAGAAAGAAAGAAAAAAAAAGAGAGATGTAGATACAGACAGACAGAGAGAGAGAGAGAGAGAGATAGAGAGAGAGAAAGGAGGATAGAAAGAAAGAGACAGAGACAGATACAGAGAGACGAAGATAAAGAGAAAGAAGAAGAAGAAAATAAAAAAATAGGCAGGCAGATAGACAGAGAGACAGAGGGCAGAGAATTTACCACTGCTCGTTCCCTCGTTTCGCCGTGTGGATATGACGGCATGTCCTCCGGCTACCCCCCCCCCCCCCCGTGCCATGTGCCTCCTGAAGGGCGCTGGCTAATGAGATCCTCTCACTCCGCCCTGGGAACTGCAGGTGCTCGTCTCTCCTCCTCCTCCTCCCTCATTTCTGCGTCTCTTTCTCTTTCTCTCATTCTCGTATTTTCTCATTTTGTTATTTTTTTTCTCTCTCTCTTTTCTCCCCTCTTCCTCTCTCTCTCTTTTCTCCCCTCTTCCTCTCTCTCTCTTTTCTCCCCTCTTCCTCTCTCTCTCTTTTCTCCCCTCTTCCTCTCTCTCTCTTTTCTCCCCTCTTCCTCTCTCTCTCTTTCTCTTCTCCCCTATTCCTCTCTCTCTCTCTCTTTCTCTCTCTTCTCCCCTCTCCCCCCCTCCTCTCTCTCTCTCTCTCTCTCTCTCTCTCTCTCCCCCTCCCTCCCTCCCTTCCCCCCTCTCTTTCTCTTTCTCCCTCCGTTCCTCTATCCGTTGCCGTTTGATTTGTTCTCTCCGTTTTGGGATTTTGGAATTCGAACCCACTTTTTTTTACAGTATAATTACGCATTCGTATTTTTCTTGCCTGCTTTCGTCCACACTCTACGAGCCCCTTTAATACCCCTCTCCCCCCCCTCCCCCCACCCCTTTCCCCCTACCTGAATTCCATAAAACCCCCCTCTCCCTCTCCCTTCTCTCCTCCCCTTCATTTTCCCTCTCCCTCTCCCTTTCTCCCTTCCCCTCTCCCTCTCCCTTCCCTCCTACCTTTCATTTTCCCTCTCTTCCTTTCTCCCTTCCCTTTTCCCTCTCCCTTCCCTCCTACCTTTCATTTTCCCTCCCTCTCTCTTTCTCCCTTTCCCCCTCCCCTTCCCTTTCCCCCCCTCCAGCACCCTTGAAAATTCTTCTCCTTCTCCCCCTCCCTCTCTCTCCCTTCCCCCCCTCCTGCTCTCCTTCCTCCCTCCCCCCCACCCAACCACGCCACTCACCCCCACCCCCCTCCAACCCACACCACACTCAACTAACGCCGTTCCTCCCTCCTCCCTCCCCCCCCCGTCCACGCCACTCACCCCCCTACCCCACCCCCCTCCACCCTCCCACACCACACTCAACTAACGGCGTTCCTCCCTTCTCCCTCCCTCAG